GTACTTCATTCGAGTATTCCCTCATTGTGGTTTGATCGAATATAATTTGCATCATTGTCTACATCATTTGCTACATCAAGTCTAGGGGCAGTGAAAGGGGGCGAATCATCAAACGTATCATATTCTTCCTCGTCTTCAACATCTCTAACACCTAAAATTCTTATTTTTCTAGCAAAGACGGTGATCCATTTTGGATCGGCTGGGTCGGTTACATAGAACACTTGCTTACCTTGAGAGGCAAGGACGAATGGTTCCAAACTATCCCGCAAGTGGCCAAGGTCTACAAGAGTGAGGTCATCATGTCTGACGTTGCTCCTATTATTATCGACCCATTTACACTTAAATAGACCTATCTTGAACTCACGGTAATCTAGTTCCCATATTTCCTGAATTCGTCCGTAGTAGGATTATTGTGCGTCAACTGGTGTTGTATCCTTCGCACTTGCAAACTCTCTTGATGAAGCCACAAGAGTGACACTACTATTTTGAGTCGATGAGGATTTCTGATCACGATGCTCAGACCAGAATGTATACCCATTTATGTCATATCCCTAAAATGAATGAACATCTTCCTTTGGACCATAAGCTAGCCACTTTATTGTATCAGAGACACTCTCATCTAATTGACGCATCACTCGATCATGGAACCACGTCAAAAACATCTTATTATGCAACTACATTAGTGCCCTTTCCCCTTTTGATGAAAATTCGACACGCAAACAATCCGTGTGCTCTTCTAAATATGGGTGAACTTCCACAACATGATGAAGCACAAATAGGTGAGCTTGCAAGACCTGATTTCGAGCAGGTGAGATCTGTTTTGACCCGAGTGTGCCATGACCATCAAGTCTCCCTTCATGTCGGGAAGTGGGAAGCCCAATAAGTTTGGAAATAGCAACATACTCTGCCACGAAATTACCAATCTCCTCAGACACAATCCCTTGAATCATACTACCTTCTAGATTGGCTGGATCTCTGACTTTATCTTGCAATGTACCCATGTGTCTTTCAAAAGTATAGAACCACCTCATAAAGACTGGACCGCACAACTTAATCTCACGAACCAAATGAAGAATCAAATGCACCATCATGTCAAAAAATGACGGTGGGAAATACATCTCAAATTTGCACAAAGTTACAACAACATTCGCTTGGAGAGCATCAAGTGTAAAAGGATCAAGCACTTTGCTGCATATAGTATTGAAAAACAAACAGAGGCTTGTAATAGCTTCTCTCACGTGCTTCGGTAAAATACCACGAATTACAAGCGGTAGGAATACTTGCATCATCATGTGACAATCATGGGATTTCATACTTTTCAACTTCAATTCTCCGTTTAAGGAAACGAATCTTTTCATGTTTAACAAGAAACTAGATGGAACCTTAATGTCATACAAACAAGCACAAAACTTTAGTTTTTCTTCCTTTGACAATGTGTAGCAAGCTGGAGGTAAATAAACCTTTTCATTCTTGCCTTTTTCATCATCTTTCTTCTTTGATACACCGGTGCCCTTTCCTTTGCGCTTCCCCTTACGTTCCTTGCCACCATCTTCGCTTCCCTTTTCCATTACCTTTTGTGTATAAAAAACTAACTGATTTTGTCAACTAACTGATTAAGGTACACGTTTGGTGTGTCATCTATACAAATGGGACATGCTTTATGCCCTTTGTTCTTATACCCGGACAAGTTTCCATATGCGGGAAAATCATTAATGGTCCACATAAAGGCTGCACGCAATAGGAACATCTCATTCTTATGGGCATCAAAAATAGAAACTCCTTCGTCCCACATCTTTCTCAAATCATCAACAAGGGGCTCAAGGCAAACATCTATGTCGTTTCCAGGTTGCCTTGGCCCCGTTATTAAAAGTGAAAGCATTACGTATTTCTGTTTTATGCAGAACCACGAAGGCAAGTTGTAGATCACTAAAAGTAACGGCCATGTGCTATGTTGGGTACTAAGAGTGCCAAATGGATTCATACCATCCGTGCACAACCCAAGCCTTAAATTTCTGACTTTATCACCAAATGCCCTAAACTTCATATCGATGTTCTTCCAATCCGGAGAGTCAGCCGAATGCTTCAGCAAATCGTTTTTCTTTCTTCCCTCTGCATGCCATCTCAAGTTCTTAGCATCTTTTGGTATTGAAAATAGACGCTTTAACCTTAGAATGATGGGAAGATACCATAACACCTTGGCAGGAGGTCCCTTCATACCAACATTGCAGCTCTTTTGCTTGTAACGCGACTTACCGCAACGTGGACACTCCTCCAACTCTTCATATTCATTTCGATAAAGAATACAATCATTAGGACATGCATATATATTCTTATAATCAAAACCAAATGGACACATGATTTTTTTTTTGCATAATAGTAGGAATTAGGAAGTTCATTCCCATCTGGCAACATATCACATAACGTAGTCAACAAAGAAGTAAAACTAGTGTCGCTCCAGTTATGCTTTGACTTAATGTTAAAAAGTGTTAGCACGACTAAGAGTATGGTGTAGTTTTTGGACCCAGGATACAAAGGCTTTTTGGCAGCCTCTGATAATGACTCAAATACATCAAATCGGTCACTAAATTCACCTTCAACATCATGCATCATCTCATCCAAGTGATCACCACCTTAGTCCTCGATCTCATCCCCCTCCGCTTCCCCATCTCCACCATCATCAGTCCCATATTCCTCTTGCACACGAATCTCAGAACTTTTATTATGCGTATCATTCCTAACAACATTCTCTCTATACGATCCCTTTTCACCATGCCAAACCCACACATGATATTGAGGCCTAAAACCATGACATAACATATGATCCATATTGGTATCAACACTATCGACCATTATGACATTATTACAATTGACACAAGGACAATAAAGGTCATTCACACCCGTTCTGAGCTGATATTGTGAAGCACTCTTGCAAAACTCTTGGACCCCATTAAAGAATTCTAATGTATCACGTCTACCATACATCCAACCGTGATCCATCGACGTTATAAATTGTCTTTAAACATACCAACACATTACAATTAATGTATAAATGCAACATATATTATTTCAATCAAAGTACACAGTATATATCGTTCATATAGTGTAAAAATGAAAGCTCCCAAAAGGTACTTATCACTCCAACCTAACCCATCCTTTAACGTCTAATCTCACTAGTGAATGTATGTCAACTTTCCAATTTTAAGGAAATCCGACAGCAATTCCCCCCAGTTCTCCAAGTACACAATGTAGGTAATTACTTACCTACATATGCACCTAGAGAACATGGTGACAAAATGATAATCCGAGATATTCCTTAAAATCGAAAAAGAGACATACATTCACTGCCTAAGTGAGATTAAACGTCCAAGAACAGTCCCAACCAGGGACTAATCAAGACTTTCTCCTAATGAGAAAGACTGGAACGGGTATCTAGGCGAATGATGATGCAAGCATTCAATAATTTGCATTTGTTTGACATTCAACAATACACAAGTTCGTTCATTCATATAATGCTAATTAGACTACCTACAAGTAAACTAAGCTTACTTACAATCCATTCATTAATTCATATAATGCATTACCAATAAACTAGGATTTGCTGATATTTAAATTATCTATTTCATTCATTAAAATTGCCAAAAATCCCACTACATTATTTAATAACCCAATTAAACAAACTAACTAGTTAACTAATAACTATTCTATTAAGATAAATCACTTTTAGGCTACTCAAATTCAAACAATATATAACATTTAAACAATTAAGGTAACAATTAACATTATGGATACAAATAATTAATAAAATAATTAAGATAAAATTGGGTTAACTAAAATTGAAACCCTAAAATTTGGGAAATTGTTGAGAAAGTATAGATAAGGAAGTAAAATTCAGCATGAACTCACCTTAATTTGAGAGGGACAAAGAGAAGGAATGCGGGGTCAGAGGGAGAGGTGTGGTGGTGGTGTCGTGTGAAGTAGCTGCAGCAGGGGATAGAGAGAATGCAAGGTGAGAGGGGCAGCAGGGACTACGTAGCAGCAGCAGCACCCAATGCAGGCGACTATGGTGGAGCAGCGATGGTGGCTACGGTGGTCGCGTCGTGTCAATACCCTATGCAGCAGCAGCAACAGTAGTAGAAATTGAATGTAAGGTGTGGCGGTGGTGTGATGTTTGAAGCAACGACTTGGTGAAGGTGGTGGTGGTGGGGGTTAAGTGAAGCAGCATCAACAGTAGCAATGGTGGTGGTGGTTAAGTGCTGGTGTTTGAGAGTGAAAGGGGAGTGCGAAATGAACAGGATGAGTGAAACACTGAAAGAGATTAAGCGGGGAATTAAAACCAAGGAAGGGTTTCAATTTTTATAAAGATCCTGCTTTTTTTATAAAAAAAAGGGTAGCGGTTTGAACCGCTTCCCATTACATTTTTGGGAGCGGTTCATCCTAAACCGCTTGCCATTTGAGGTCTGATTTTTTTTTTTTTTTTTTTTGGGTGGGTTTTTGTAGGGATTTCGAAGTAGATTTTAAGAACCGCTCCCCATTTGGGGCTTCCCATTAACTTTTCTCTACTAGTGCTTGCTAGCATGCGGGCTGTGGCCTGCTCGTCCAGCCAGCACGCACATGTGGCTGCTGGGCTTGTGGCCACGGCCATGCATTAGGCTAGCACTCTTGCTAGCCTTATTAGCCTAGCCCTCGCACGGCTAGGCCAATGCGAGGCTACGACTATTTGACTTGTTGTTTGACTTATTCATCATCTTGTCGATTGCTAGAATCGACTCGACGTTCGACGCTCTAAGCTCGGAATCCGACGTCTGAGTTCGGAAATCCTTATCGACTTATTTAAACCTTTCGTATTAATTCGTCGCCTTTGTTCTGTTACACGATTGGGTGTGACCCATAGGGTTCGGTCAAGAGCAAGCGGTAAGATTAATTATATATTAATCTTACTGATCGGAAGCGGCCTCCAACTAGGCATTCCGAACACTTGACTTAACTGAATAATTAGCTTTTCTAATTAATTCCGAATCCTCTATCGGAATAACACACTTGTTTGAAGGACACCATTCCTTTCAATTTATAGTACACTCGTCTTATTTAGAAGTTTTTCTACTCTTTAATTTACAACATGTATACTTTAAAATTGACCACTTAATGTACCATAAAATTCATAATAAGGTAGGTATGTGAAAAAGAAAGAAAAAAAACATAATATGTTAATAGTTATGCATAATAGGTTAAATTACCCCAAAATTGATAAAAAAAATCATCCTAAAACTATAATAAACTAGGCATTGATCAATAATAATTGCTACATACCCTTTGTACCCAAAAGTTTTTGAGGGTAAAAATTTCCAATTTTCAAATCAATGATATTCTTTTATTTATTTATTATCTTTGTACACCAAATCACTATACAACTTTGATTCTTGTTTATGGGAATAATATAGCCACACGTAACTTGATTTTAACACATCCATTATTGTGAAAACACAGGTTTTTATGATATTCTCATAAGGAGTGTGGCTTAAAATAAATTAAACTAAATTTTAATATGCCAAAATTATTTCCGTTGTTTATGTACACCCATTTTAGCATTTCCAACAAGGAAAACAAAGATAATAGGGGCAGAGACAAAAAAAAAAAAAAAAAACCGATGGCAGTTGTTCGTTTCTTCCCGGCTGTGTACCAACCGTATTTTTACAAATTTTCAACAATTGAAACATCTATCATCCACGCACCTTTTCCAAATTTCAACCATCAATTTATCCATGATGATGCTCATGATGCTGACTCTCTTACCAATTATATAAGAGGCTAACAATACTTTGCGTCTTTGCCCCATTTAAATCAAGCCATCTCTATCAACTACTAAAAGAGGACATCAACTACCAACTGCTAATATATTCCCTTTTTTTTTTTTTTTTTTTATTTAATACATTAGAATTAAACATGAGATAAAGGGCATCGGAAGAAAACTATTAAGTATCTTCTAAAAGAAGCAGATTAAACAAACTATCAAAACCAATTATTAGAATTTTCAGTGTACCTATGTGTGTTTTTTTTGCTTTTTCAAACTTAAGGGTACATTTAACTTTAGGTGTAACTAGTAACAAGATAGCGGTGCTGTGTATAGGCATCCTCAACCTTTCTAATGAAAATTACCCTACTAACTAATCAAACATTAGGTACACCACCTCTAAGTAGTGTAACTGAAAACAAGATAGTGGTGCTGAGTATGTATACACATTCCTGAACTTTGTAATGACAATTATCTTACTAATTAAAACATAATTAATTGATAGAGTAATTTTAAGACTTAATAACACTACTGAGAAAGCTACCACTCACCTAGCTAACAAATAACGTACAGTTACATATTACCCAAAAAGAAAATAACTACAGAAAATTTAGACATACATTTAACATATGACCCAATAAGAACAAATTCAGTTTATATATCTTGAGCTTACAGACCTTCAATTTTAAACAAAAAAACTTATACAGATAATAACGTGACCTTCTTCATAAATAAAAGATTAAAAAAAAAAAAAAACCCTTATAAAGGAAATTTGTAGGTTTCCATAACTAATCCAAAGTAGTGCAAGATAGTTTTATTTTAATAACTATTTGTACACAAGCACTATTTATACAAAATACTTATAATACATACAACGTACATACATTACTATATTTATTATTACTTGATTATTAATACTCCCCTTAATCTTACTTTCGTAGAGTTTAACATATATATTTATTATGATTTAGGATAATAGTTATAAGATTATATTTTATGGATAATTCCAAAGGTTGTGATTTCCTGAAGAATTGCCAATAGTATCTTCATCATCATCTACATAATTAGTAGGAACATCCAATCGAGGAGGGCTAAGGAGCATTCCTTGAGCCATATTTGCCAACACATTTGGCATATCAAATATTAAATCTTCATCCACAAAATATTCCTCAATTCTTTTCCCTCTATTATTTTCATCAATTTGACCATCATTTTGACCACCACCACTTAGGTTTGCCCTTCTTTCGGAATTCAATGCATCCGCAGCAGCACCAGCTGCTGCGGCTGCAGAGGCAGCAGCTGCCTGGATATCCCTCGGAGAGGTGGAGTGAGGGACCGGAAGATAGGGGGAGGAGTCGGGAAAGTTGAGTTGGGTGCCGGGGCCCTTTAGAGCTAGGGCTGCCACATCATAGGCCACGGCAGCCATCTCTTGAGTAGGGTAAGACCCAAGCCAAATTCGAGTAGGCTTCTTAGGCTCTCGAATTTCTGATACCCACTTCCCACTCTTCCTACAGCGTACACCTTTATAGGAAGAGCGGGATGAGTTAGAGCATCCATAATTATTATCTTGTTTAGTATGATGCATACTTATAATAAAGGTAATAATAAAAAGTAGTATTATGTTGAGAAGGGTAAGTAGTTACCTGGAAACATCGTGGCGAGGAGGAAGCCATTTATATATGTGGTGATTCCTGAACACTGGGATTAATCACAAGTGCAAACCAGATGAAGATGAACTGCACTTACTCGTACTCGCTTGCGGCTAGCTGGTAATTGTAAGAGATGGAAGGAGTGAAAATGGGTAAGGTTGGTGTAAGCCAGCTTTTCAAGTGTTGGAAATGAAGTTATAAAAGTGCTTAGAAATGCAGATAGAAACGGTTTCTATCACTATAGCAACAATAGTGGGAGATTTTTGTGTGCGAGTAAGTGTGTGAGAGTGTGCTAATAGTGGGATATAATGGAATAAAACAGTATTCTGTCGTCCAAAAACGTGTGTTTGTGTGAGGATAATTAATTTGATCGATACACTTTGGTGGGCTTGATTTGATCGTTAATTTTGAAATGGATGTATGTAGGTACTAGGTAGAATATCTGTTCAGTACTTAACTTATGGGTAGTTAGGTTATTCAGTCACCTCGATCTCACTATTTCTTGAGGTAATGTGTTTATTTGTGCATCTTATGTATCCTTATAGTGCCTTGTATAAGACTTTGTCATGTCTTACAAAGACAAGCAGGTGTTGATGTCTTAACTTGTCTATGGAACAATAGACTTTTGTCTTACATCACATATTGTTAGTTGTCAAACTGTTAAGCAATTAGTCAGACTTGTTTAACTAAGCTGAGTGTATGTTATGTTGATCGTCATATATTGGAAACTGCATATACTGGATAGACAAACCCCTGTGAAAAAACGTTTATAAATGTACTAGATTATGTTTTCATGAAGGTTTTTAATCTAAGGATTCAATCATATCTAAAGCTGCTAATAAACTCTCCTTGGATTGTACGTTCGATGTGTTAGCTTAGCTTAAGTTTTTCTCTTGAATATAAAAGGGTACTGTTTTTATTACTCTTTTTTATTTTTAGAATGTTACTAATGGCTGAATATATTTATAGTCACAATTCGCAATTTCATGAGCTAATTTCTGTCATGGAACAATTATCTGAGGTGCCCTTGTCTTAACGCTAGCACCTCATCTAGTACAAATGGTTGTATGTAATTGTACTACTTAAGAAGAATTAGAAGACTAGCCTGTATGTAATTGTCATATATTAACAAAGGACTAGTAAATCAAAATTATTGGTCTGAATATGATTTCGATCAAACACTCAAAAAATTCGAAATAATTCGAAAGAAAAATATATTTGTATCAAGTATCTGGTTGGGATCTTTATTTATACTAGTACTCGTAGCAAAGTAGCAACCTACAAAGAAATTAAAAATGTGACAACTTACCTCTCTTGAACTTATAACTAACCTAACTTACAAATTGTGCACCAATTAGACTTAAAATCACCCATAATATCAGTGGATTTCTTTATACACTACTTTGACAAATATTTGTGTTTTATAAATGGAGGAACATGGAGAAGCAAGTTTGCCACTATGTGTAACGGGTAGGAGGAGCATTTTCCTTTGTACAATTTACATATACTACTTTGACTAATATTTGTGTTTTATAAATATGATTAAACATAACTATATTGATCCAATCATAATAGTACCTCCGATTTTTTTAAGTGCTCTAAATTAACAAGCACATTTGTCGAGTTTTGACCAATGATATCCTTAATTACCAAATAAGTATAAATTATAATAAAGTCAATACTCAAAATCTACTAGCTATGATATACATATGTCGACCAAACTTTTGAGGTCATATAAAGTACTCTGTAACAAATTACAAATTTAGTGAATTAGTTTAAATTTAAATTTAGTGAATTAGTTTGTCTAATAAATACTCTCTTCGTGTTTAAATAAATGAAACGTTTCCCTTGTGTACGTATACCAATGTAACACTTTGACTGATTATAATTTTAATTATCAATAAGTAAAATTATAACAATTAAATATTAGTAAACTATATATTCATTGACACAATTCCAACAAGTACCCACAAAACTATGTCGTTATTCTTACGTATAAATCACAACCATTTGTCAAAATGAATTAGATGAATAGTGTAAAAAGTCAAAACATTTAATTTATTTAAACACGGAGGAGTTGAACAACTTAAATTATTAATCTCAAATTCAGGTACTAACTATACAACCTTAATTAAGTCCTTAACTAATAAAGGTAGTCAGTAGTGAGGTATTGACAAAAACAAGATAATTTGTAATACTCCATAGTAATTAATTAGTGAATGAATCATATGGCACTGCACATATCCTCCTTACAAACACATGTTGCCTTTACAAAGTGACTCCACACATACATATGAACTGTGATGAATTTAGATGGAAGTCAGGCAGACAGAAGGATGACGGGAACACGGAGGAACGGGGTTGCTGCCTCGCGTAAGAGGTAGGAGAAGGGCTTAGACTAGTACATAGCATTTGAAAGTCACTTGTAAGGCTAGGAGTTGCCGCAGCCTCGTTGTAGGAAAAGCATGAGAGCAAAAAGAATTAAGTATTTGGCAGTCTTTTCGAAGGTTACCACATCGCTATGTACATGTTGAAACTGTGAAAGGTTTTTCAAACGCAACATTATTATACGAAGACTGTTTTGGGTGTGGTCAACTGGTCATATACTTTTATTTATTAATTAATTACACGGATTAGCAGCCACTGATTAGTGATTATTACTTTAATTACTGTCGGCATAACAATGAATGTGTTGCGATACATCGCGGGCTTCAAATGGACACTTTCAGCCTTATGGGCTTTTCTTTGGACCACCGACGGCCTTTTTACCTTTTTGTAAGCTAATCTTTATGGACTTTTAATTCTAAGCATCCTAGTGTCAAGGGATAAAGGGTCGTAAGACTCTTATACTTACTTCGTTTTTAAATACTTGCTCTATTTTTATTTTTTTTCGATCGTTTTTAAATACTTGCTTCATTTCTTTATTTAGAAATCTTTTACAATATTTAATTCATTTCTTTCAACTAGTAGACCCAACATAAATCATATTTTATTAATTTTATACTCTCTCTCCTCCAATTCTCTCAACAACTTTTGCTTTTTTCAATTTTTATTCTTTTACCTAACCCATTACCTCCATATTTTATTACTTTTTCCAATTTCTCCTAAAACTTCACGTATGTAGAAATGGAGCAAGTATATAAAAAGGGAGGGAGTACTTCGCTAAAAAAATGCTACCAAGTATATACGATATTCTACTCAACTTTTGTAACTTTATTTTGGGCGTGTTCAACAAAATATCGTTGTGGAGGTAGCTATTAGCTGTGCTAGAAGTGGTTAGATGTTGGCTGTCAATAAGTTGTTAGCAGTGAAGATAGATAATTAAGATATGAGTGTTCGATAAGTAGCTATTAACATATACTTTCTCCGGTTTTTAATAGTTACAACACACACTTTTTCACGGTATTTAAGAAAGTGAGGTTTACATGATTTAATACATTTTAAAATGGGGTGAGAGGATGCTAAGAGTATAATTTAGTGGGTCATATGCTTTAAATAAGGGAAATAGTACAAGTTTTCCCCAAAATAACTTTTCAATTATAGTGTATTGTAAGTATTGAGGCATTTTCATTTTAGGGAAATATTGCGAGTATATAATAAATTTTTAGCATCTACTGTTAATTTTCAAAAGCTAATAATGTTAACTTTAGGTAAAAGTTACCTCCACCACTAAAAGCTACCCCAACCACTACATTGCCAAACCATCATTTTTTAGGGTAGCAAATTGGCTTGCAAACTATGGAGTTTTTTGGAACAATAATTGGTCATTTTTGAAGCGATCCCGAAGGAACTTGGTGTCCTTTTGTTAGAGGATCTAAGTGGTATGGCGCTTCATAGACAAGTGCCGCGGAATAATACTTAGCGTTTTGTTTTGGTAGTGTAGGGTAGTCGTTTTTATTTTCTTTGTAGTTCCTACCTTGTTTTCTTCTCTTTGAAGCTTGCCACTCGTGTTCAACAAAAAAAAAAAAAAAAATTATAAAGTTGTGATTTGACTTAATCAAACCACTAAAAGCTACTCAAAATCTAAGGCTGAAAACATCCACAAATATTACCACTACTCCTCTTTTCGTCTCATAATACAGTTCCCGTTTGTCATATTTCACGAAAAATTAAAAATGAGAGGAGAAAGTATATAACGTACATGTAAAAGTGAGAAAAGTACAATATATATGAGCGGGGCACAAATGATAAGCAAATGAAAAAAAAAAGTACATGAAAATGAATGGGGGCACAAATAATACAAGAACTATGAGAGCATTTTGAGTAGTGGGTAAAGACAAAATAATGAGGGTACTTTAGATATATCATAATATCTAAAATAGGAAAAAATGAAATAGAAACAACATTTTAAGGGATAGATGGAGGGATTACATTTCAGCTAGGGATATCACAACGCCTAAGTTCGTTGCAATAGAGCCTTTAAACAATTGCAATAGACCTAATGCAAGGTTCGATCTATACCATTGCATCCACTGGCGCGTCGCATAAGCCCTAATGTGACGGTAAAATCCCGATGCAACAGTTAATTAAGCATTCTAGTGTATGGACAAAGTACCTTAGATATTTTCAGGAATTATATAGGGTATCTACTTAAAGTACCTTGAATATATGTTTGATGTATCGTCTCAATTATGAACTCTTGCGATCCATACTAAATCTGACCAACTGCCTAGCCTCTTTGGCTTTATTGAGGCATATGTGGAATGCCCATAGACTATAAAGTGACCCTTCCTTCCCTTTCGGGAAGGAGCCTTTCCGTTCATTCAATATCTCATATATGTCTTGTTCTAAGGCTAAAGAAAGTCCTAGTGGAATAGTCTAAGGCTAAAGAAAGTCCTAGTGGAAAGTGAGGAGTATTGTTATGCAGAAATAATTGCATAACGAGGGGTAAGGGCGTAATTACACGTAATATATATTATGACATTAGAGTAGTACCATGAGTGATCAATGGTACCATTGAGTAATAAAATAGTATCATTGAATATTCAGTGGTACTATATATACATTCAGTGGTATTAACTACGTGCATATATAGTATAACTAAATAACCAATGGTAATATATAAACTTTCATTGATACAATTAAAAGTGGTCCCACTCACCTTTCTCTCTCCTCCTTTTTCTCTTTTTCATGTGATTTTTAATATTTTAAATACATAACAATATTGCATTAGTACTTTTAGTGGAAAGCAGGGTTGCATGGACATGCCTAAACCTGATAATTCAACCATTCTAGTGGCGAGTAATTGTTCACTTGAGATGATACATCAAATAAACTCTATTCTTTCTCTGTATTCTGTTTATTGTTTTATTTGACTGTGTGCAATTACCAATGCAAAATTTAGACATCAAATATTGTTAATTATCAATTTTAAATATTATAATAATAATAAAAAAAGAGCTGATACTTTAAAATTATACATTAAAATAAATCTAACAAATTTCAAACATGACTATGCTATTCTTTATATGAGTATGCAATCAAATGATGTTCAAACTAAAG